CTATTGCATCATCAATATTATCCAAAACCGTTATATCTTCAACATACATTTGACATAATTATCATTTTCATCAACATCCAATTATTTTAGGTCTTTTGGTTGATAACTGTTAATTTAATGATTAGGTCTTTTGATGATAACTGTTAATTTAGGTCTTTTGATATAACTGTTAAATTTAGGTCTTTTGATGATAACTGTTAATTTAGGTCTTTTGATGATAACTGTTAATTTTAGTTTTTTATGATAACTGTTAATTTAGGTCTTTTGATGATAACTTAATTATATGAATAACAATGATGTTTTTAAGAATTACCAAAGAATCTAACCAGAACACCCACACTTTCAAAGAAACACTTAATCCCCCAAACACTTATTTTTACCAACCCGATCCTCAGCTCCGCCCACACGCAAAATGAAGACAATTCTATGCAATTGAATCGGCCACAGGAAGACAATTACTGCAACATATATTGCAAAGCGAGCGTGACAAACCTGCGAACTCCAATTAAACAATTCTCTTCGCCTGACATGTGCAACGCGTGTTGAACATGGCAATATTAGGTTTATTTGGAAGGGCGAGAAAGACGCAGCCACAACATCGCTGTGAACGGGTTGGTGGGGGTTGGCCTTAGGGGCTCAGGTTTTAAACTTGCAATGTTTTATTATTGTTATTTATTATTATTATTATTATTATTATTATTATTATTATTATTATTATTATTATTATTATTTTATTATATATTACTATTATTGTTATCATTATTATTATTATTATATCATTATTATTATTATTATTATTATTATTACTATTATTACATTATTGTTATTATATATTATTATAGTTATTGTTCTTCTTCTTCTTCTTCTTATTATTATTATTATTATTATTATTTATTATTATTATTATATTATTCATCATCATCATATCATCATCATCATCATCATCATCATCATCATCATCATCATCATCATCATCATCATCATCATCATTATTGTTGTTATTATCATTACCATTATTATTATTATTATCATTACTATTATTATTATTATATATTTTGTTGTTGTTATTCTTATTGTTATTATTGTTTTTATTCTTATTGTTATTATTATTATCATAATTATTATCATTAATATTATCGTTGTTATTATTGTTATTATTATCATCATTATTATTATTTATTATATTAACATTAATCATTATTATCATTATTATTTTTTATTATCAATGGATGGATAGATAGATGAGTCAAAGCGATTGGTAACAAGCGCCCCAATCCCACCCAATCCGGCCGATCCCAGTTATGGTTCGGCCTCGTCCACAGAGGATACCAAGTGTGTGCTGGGTATCAAGCGATTTTAATGAACCATGGAAATAGATATATAAATAGATACGTCAATAGATTTTTAAGTTTCTTTGTTTATTTATTCGTGTGCATGCATTTACAAAAGCAATTTATAAGATCTTGGCATGGATACATCACACACAATAGATGACTTACCAACTTTAGGCAAAGATGAAAAATTGAAGAATCCTTTGATTTTGGGAAAAAAAAAAGAAAAAAAAAAAAGAAGAGAGAGAGAGAGAGAGAGAGAGAGAGAGAGAGAGAGAGAGAGAGAGAGAGAGAGAGAGAGAGAGAGAGAGAGAGAGAGAGAGAGAGAGAGAGAGAGAGAGAGAGAGAGAGAGAGAGAGAGAGAGAGAGAGAGAGAGAGAGAGAGAAGATATATATATATATATATATATATATATATATATATATATATAATATATATATATATATATAATATATATATATATATATCCCGAAAGAGTGCACTTTACGTCCACGCTGTCTGCAAGATTTATATTACGCGGCACACAGTCTATGTACCGTATTCTGAATGTACTTTATTTACATAACGAGAGTTTGTTGTCCTTTTTACACAATAAAAAGCGTTTGCGTTTCTCACAGAGCGACGGGTTTGGAATACGGAATGTTTTATGCAAAGTTATAGTCGGAATTTCTCTCAGTATTTCATGAGTGTGGTGCGTGGTGTGTGTGGTGGGGGGGGGGGTTGTGTGGTGGGGGGGGAAGGGGGGTTGTGTGTGTGTGTGTGTGTGTTGTGTGTGTGTGTGTGTGTGTGTGTGTGTGTGTGTGTGTGTGTTGTGTGTGTGTGTGTGTGTGTCTGAGAGAGAGAAGAGGAAGGAGAGAGAGAGAGAGAGAGAGAGAGATAGAGAGAGAGAGAGATAAATAGATAGAGAGAGAGAGAGAGAGAGAGAGAGAGAGAGCGAGAGATAGAAAGAAAAAGAGATAGATAGACAGATAGAGAGAAAGAACCCACCCACAACTCACACATTTACCCCTAACGAGCGGTAACCCATCAGCCGAATAAAGACCAGACCTCATAACATAACCCAACCTCCTATATGCTTCCTCAAGTCCGCATTATCTCTGAGCTTTCGCCCCGTCACGCCCCCAGAACAAGTGACAATGAACTCCCCTCTCATTGTATAAGACGGTCCCATCCCCAGCAGAAGCCAGGCACTCACCCCAGACTCTTCCATGGGTCTAAGGAGTTAACAAGGAGTTCCTGCCTCTTGCCGCCATGGGCCTTGTTCGACGGATAAGCGGTAAGGCGAGAGAAAGGGAGATTATAATGTGGTTGGTTTCTTGTGTGTTTTGTGGTTGAGTTTTTGTTGTTGGTGATTTGGTCGCCCGGTTGCGGTCAGTGTTGAAATGTTTTTGTTTTTTGGGTTATGCAGTGGAATTGTGTTTAATTTTTGGGAATCTGGTTAGAAATTGTTTCTGTAATAAAAAGAGAAAAAAAAGAGAAAGAAAGATTTTTTTTGTTGTTTTGTTTCTTCTTTTTTCTCATATTTTGGCCTTTTGTTGATATTTTGGTATTCTATTGCTGTTGTTGTTGTTGCTAATGCTCTTTGATTATACTATCATCCTTTATTTCTAATATTATTTTCATTGTTATTGGCATCATTATAAAGATAACTATTTTCTTATTATTCTAATATATAATTATACTCGATATTACTGCAGTGATTATTGTTATACTGTGTGTTTAGAATCATTACCAGTATCATTATTTTTCTTATTATTGTTACTGTCGTTATCATTATTACTACTTTTATCATTATCATTATATCATTTTTTTAATATCATTATTATCATGGTTATCATAATTATTTGTTATGATGACTGTGATGAAAAATTATTATCATTATGATTATTACTAAGAAAATTATCATTATTATCATTATTGTTGTTGTTGTTATCATTATTATTATAATCATTGTGATGATGATTATTATTATCATGACTATTATTATCATGATGATAATGATGATGCTGATGGTTATAATTATAATGATAATAATAAAGATGATGATAAAGATAGTAATTAAATAATTACAATAGTGATTATGATCATTATCATTATCATTGTTATCATCATTATTAGTTTGTTTGTATCACTTTTATTATCATTTTTATTACTATTTTATTATTATTATTATCATTATTATTATTATTATTATTATTTATTATTATTATTATTATCATTATTATCAATACTACTGTTATTTTTAGTATTATCTTTTATCATTATCAATATTTCGTTGTCATCATCATCATCATCATCATCATTATTATTATACTATTATCATTATTATTATCATTATTATCATCATCATCATCATCATCAATATCATTACTTTACCGTTCCATTAGAAGTAAATCCATCGTAATTATAATTTTCAAATTCTCGTTATATCTCCCACTACCTCTCTGGAATCTAATATCTAGTAAACGACTTGATTTCTCGTATACTGATAGATTACTTGTATAACTTTGTAGTCTTGTATCCAGTTAAAAGTTCAGTGACTACACGATAACTTATTATTATTATTTTTTTTGTACATGTATACAAACAAAGAAATTGAAGCAACGTAAGATACAGCAAGGTAAGATGTAAGAGAGAGAGAGGGACGGAGGGAGGGAAGGAGAGGGAGAGAGGAGAGGGAGGAGAGAGGGAGAGGTGGGGAGAGAGGGGAGAGAGGGGAGAGGGAGAGGAGAGGGAGAGGGAGAGGGAGAGGGAGAGGGAGAGGGAGAGGGAGAGAGAGAGAGAGAGAGAGAGAGAGAGAGAGAGAGAGAGAGAGAGAGAGAGAGAGAGAGAGAGAGAGAGAGAGAGAGAGAGAGAGACAGAAAGATAGATAGATAGATAGATAGACTGAGAGAGGGGGGGTAGAGAGAGAGAAACGGAGCGAGAGAAATGCAGACATATAGATTGATCGATTAAAAGAAGAGGAAATAGTTGGAAAGAGAAGACTAAAAAACTATTCATCGAGTCTCACACACAGAATTCCACAATTTCAGAAAATTTCTTGTCCTTAAGAATGTGGAAATTTTTGCGTTTCTCGACTTCTCATGTTCCGAAGAATAATGCTGAGACGGTGGATGGCCCTCCTGGATCGACCGAAAACGGGGATGGAAGAAGGGGGATAAAAGGAGAATAGAGGGAAGGGAGAAAGGAGTGGGAGGGAGTGAAAGAATGAGGGATAGAGACGAGGATAGTGAAAACGCGAGAGGGAGTTTTGTTATATGAATAGAATATAAAATTGTGTGTGGAGATTTTTTTTCATACTTTGTTTGGCAAGGGTTTTTGCGTGTGTACAAAGGCCTAATCGCGCTATACACACACGCACACGAACACACACACATGTATACAAAATGCTGATATGAATCAGGTGTGAAATACAAAACTTATTATACAATCAGAGGTGATATAAGTCAGCTAAATGGCTCAGATTTGTTCATGGTTGACTGTGTTGATAACTTATAACCAATAAATACGTTTTTTTTATCATTATTTCTTTGTTAATTCATACACATGTATTGATCTATACTTATCACTTATGCGTTCATTTATACTCATTATACACATTCACTTACTGTATCACTTATATATGATTTTAGTATGAATTTATTTTGTGTTAAACATACAATTATTTTAATATTGATAAATTACAACATCAACGTTTTTATCATTCCTATCGCTATCAACAGCACCATCATAAGTATTATCTGATATCATTGCTTAAAAGTGATGATATCCAGTAGTTATGATTTTAATGGAAATATGTTAGTATTATTACTAGTATCATTTTCCTCATCTTTATTATCATCACTCCTACAATAATTTCAAAGCATCTCTGTGTGGCATTAGTATTTTACTTCATGATTCTACGTGGATATCAGATTTATTCACTCGATATTACTAATTGATAAAAATCGCAGACAGTAACAGCAAGATATTCACAACAGCAAAAAGAAAAGAAGAGAGAGAGAGAAAAAAATGAAATTGATGTCTCCAAACCTATTTGAATTCGACTCCGAAAAGGTTTCTGATCCAATTATAAACTTAATCTAGAATTCACGCTCAGTTGTAAAGATTTTCATTCGATTCGGATAAAACTCTGCTCGCTGTCACTCGTAGTAATTATATATACAAACACGTCTGATACTCGGAAATAAAGAGAATCTAAAATGCCGGAATCTTTAGGAACAGGAATCAGTTGGATTAGTTTTAATACTAATGTCCATTCTTATTTGATGAAGTGTAATATATATATATATATATATATATATATATATATATATATATATATATATTATATATATTATATGTACATAGTATTCATATATATATATATATATATATATATATATATATATATATATATATATATATATATATATATATATATATATATATATATATATATATGTGTGTGTGTGTGTGTGTGTGTGTGTGTGTGTGTGTGTGTGTGTGTGTGTGTGTGTGTGTGTGTGTGTGTGTGTGCTGCACACACACACACCTGCTTCGGTGCCATACATTTACAATCATCGGGACAGAACATGCTTTGAGTAGAGATTCTTTAATGTTAATTGCTTTCATGATATGGTATTGAAGACCTTTATTACCTTTATTTCTAATATCACCATTATAATTGTTACTTTTCTCGTTATCATTATCATCATCACTTATAACATCAGTATTATCATAAACAAAAAAAAAAAAAATAAAAACATATAAACGTCATATTATCTAACAAGCTTTTTCCTTGAAAGCAACAAAAGAAAAAACACAAAAATCAGAAGAAGAACGCGTGCATAGGCAGAGAAGCAAGGAGTTCTATCTATTGTTGTCCATAGCTCTTTCAAAGGCCGGACGAGTGCGAGGAGTGTGCACTGGGAGTTATGTTCATTGACTTAATATTCGTTGATGAGTCGGGTATTGTTGGTGGTGGTCAGTGCCAGGCGGGGATGGACACCTGTTTGTCATTGCCAGGACAGTAGTTGTTCGTGGTTCCGAGGAGGAGAGCAGTGCGAGTCGAAGTGTTGGAGTGGTGGTGGAGAGTGTGTGTGTGGGAGGAAGGTGAGGTCTGTGGTAGAGTCAAGGCGCTGTGGTAGATGGTATTGGCTGGATGGAGATTGACCTTGGCTGACCCTTGGCTGCGTTCTCTCTTGTGGCAGCTGGGTAGGGGTGAGGGAGGGAGTGGGGGGGGGGGGTTAAGGTCATTCTGCAAAGGATGAATGGGCTTGTAGGTGTTTTGCGGTGCCGGAAGTTGGACACCAAGTGATTTTCGGAACACACACACACACACACACACACACACACACACAACACAACACACACACACACAACACACACACACGCACGCACAAACACCACATACACATCACACACACAAAAAAAACGTTCCTCTACCATTACCAACACAACACAACCACATCGAAACAACCACCACCCCCTCTCCAACCCCCCCCCCCCCACACACACCAAGCCAACCACACGACCCCCGCCCATTCTCCCTTCCCTCTCCTCCCAGACATGGTTCCCGCCCGCGTTGCGCTGGCGATGATCAGCGCTTTGGGAGCCACCATGATCTACATGATAAGAATCAACCTCTCTGTGGCGATCGTCGATATGGTGGTCACTGTATCTGCAACGGACGCTTCGAGCCGAGCCAACACTGTCCCGCACTGCCTTGAAGCTCAGGTACGTGGGGGTGTTGTATTTATTTCAATAGGTAAGTCCTGTTATTACTACCATTATCATTATTCGTAGTTCTGTGATGGCTATTGTCATACAGTCATATAGCATTATTTTTTTTATTAATGTTGTTTTCGGTATTATTGATATTTTTTTTATCGTGACCATCATAATCATCATTATTTTATGAGAATCATGATATTTATTAATATTATCTTCATCATCATGTTATTATCATTATATATTTTCCATCCAATCATTATCTCTGTGTTATATCTTCATTATGATATAAATTATTCCATTTTAGGCTTCTTTATTATCAGTCTAACTTCTATGTGTATAAACTACTCTAAATTCAATCTAATTTGCATAATATTTCCACAGGGAGGTGATATGAACCAGACAGGAAGCGTCCATTTAAATTCCAAGAATCTTCTATCTCTTAATAATATGACTTCTACCAAGCTAAATTTTTCTGACGAACAGGTACTTGTATGCACGCTGTTAATTGATGTAATTAATCTCTTATTAATTACTATAAGATGAGATTCGAAAATCCTCTTATGCAAAAGTTTTTTTTTTTTTAATCTGCTTGTTATATTTTCTGTTTCTATATGAACGTATATTTTCCATATGTTTAATCTATATCCTCATAGTCTATCTACCTTTATTATCGATCTATATACCTAATTTTCCATTCGTTGCGATTCTCTTCATTTCCATTACGCTGTGTTCACTCCCATAAATCTATATACCTATTTTCCATTCGTTGCGATTCTCTTCATTTCCATTACGTTGTGTTCACTCCATTATTCCTAATTATCTCACCTTACGTACTCCCATAAATCTATATACCTATTTTCCATACGTTGTGTTCACTCAATTATTCTTAATTATCTCATGTACTCCCATAAATCTATATACCTATTTTCCATTCGTTGCGATTCTCTCCATTCCCATTACGTTGTGTTCACTCCATTATTCCTAATTATCTCACTTCATGTATTCTCACAATTTCTCTTCGCCAGTTTGCGGACAAGCTCTTCCTGACCAGCGGACAGAGGGGGTCTGTGTTGGCTGCCTTCTTCTATGGATATTTTCTGACAGGGGTGAGTGGGTAGGGATTTTCTGGTTGCAGGTGGGAAGGAGAAGGAGAACTGGAAGAAGAGGAAAAGGATTGCACGCATATATACATATACACACGCGTGCGGATATATATCGTTTTGCTACACACGCGCACGCACACACACACATACACACACATGCATACACACACACACACACACATACACACACACACACATACCCACAGCACACACACCACACACACACACACACACACACACACACACACACACACACACACACACACACACACACACACACACACACACGCACACACACAAAACACAACACATATATGTATACATGTTAACGTACACGAACATACAAAGTGAACGTTTGAAAGACCTCTACTGTTATCAGTTATCAAAAAATATTATAAAAGAATCGAACAACTCCAACCTTCAAAAAAAGAAAAAAAAAGAAAAGAAAGAAAAATTAATAAAAAATATATATTTACAATCAAAAGTATTAAAATAATAAACAAAAAAACAACCCCCACAGAATATAATAATGATGATAATAATATAATAATAATAACATCAATAACAATAATAATGATAATAATAATAATGATAACAATTAAAATAGTTATAACAATATTAATAATAATAACAATAATAATAATAATAATAATAATAATAAATAATAATAATAATAATAACAATAATAATGATAATAATAATAATAATAATAATAATAATAATAATAATAATGATGATAATAACAATAAAAATAATAATGATAATAAACAATAATAATAATAAATATTAACAATATTAATATGATGATAATAATAAACCCCTCCTCCAACAGATCGTGGGAGGACGCCTCGCCGAAACCTACGGATCCAAGGTCGTCCTCGGGACCTCGGCCTTCATCGGGAGCCTCCTGACCCTGCTGACCCCCGTGGCCGCTCGCACCCACTACATAGCGCTCATTGTCCTCAGGGTTGCCATGGGGTTGGCGCAGGTGGGTGTGGGAGGAGGGGGAGGAGGTGGAGGAGGAGGAGGGGAGGAGGAGGTGGAGGAGGAGAGAGGAGGTGGAGAGGAGGTTGGAGAAAGAGGAGGAGGAGGAGGAAGTGGTGGAGGAGGAGGAAGAGGAGGTGGAGGAGGAGGAGGAGTGGAGGAGGAGGTGGTGGAGGTGGGAGGAGGAGGAGGAAGGAGGAGGAGGAGAGATGTGATGGAGGAGGTGGGAGGTGGGAGAAAGAGGAGGAGGAGAGGAGGAGGTGGTTGGGGGGATATATTTGTATGGATATACATACATACGTATATAGATAGATAGATAGATAGATAGATAGATAGATAGATAGATAGATAGATAGATAGATAGATAGATAGATAGATAGATAGATAGAGATAGACAGACAGATAGATAGATATCCAGACAGACCTACAGAGATTTGAACTGACTCAAGTAAAAAGCAACTAAGTAAAAAAATCAATAACAATCATAATAATAATGACATCAAAAATGATAATGCTGAAAATGGTAACATTTATAATAACAGTGATTATAATGACAAAAATGATCATAATGACAACAACAATAACAACGATAGTGATAACGAAAACAATCTCGTCGGCTGTACTACTAATAAAACATCTTTTCCTCTCCCCTTTTTTTTTCTTTTTTTTTTTTGCAACATCAGGGTGTCTCGTACCCGTCCATGCATGCAATGGTTGCAAGATGGGTCCCGCCATCCGAGAGACCAAGATTCACTGCCTTTGTTTACATGTGTGAGTTACTTTCATCTTTTTTTTAAGGATGGTGATTATGATTATGATGATTATTGTTTTTATTATCATTGATATTGTCATTGATATTGCTGTTAAAAAATTATTAACATTAATATTGCTATTGTTATTAAAAATTATTGACATTATTATCTTTATCATTGTTGTTATTAATGTTATCATTATCATCATCACTATTATTACTATCGTCCTTCTTATCATCATTGTTATTATTATCATTATTATCATCATCAATATTATCACTCTCATTATCATTATCATCATTAACATCATTATTAACACTATCATCGTCATTATTATCATCATCATGTTATAATTTTTCCTTTTATTACTATCATCATTATCGTCATTATAATGATATTACATCACAACTACTACTACTACTACCACTACTATTACTTCTACAGCTGCTGTTTCTCATTTTCTTTATCGTCATAATAATAACAACTGAACTGTTATTCCTGCTTTACTGTTATTATGAATACGAACCTCATTTTCATATGTCTATCACTAATCGAATGAATAAATGTTTGTCCAGTTACGTCAACCTCAAACACGTGTATATCAAAATAATTGTCGGTATGAATTTACCATCAATTGGTCATGCTTATTCCGAATCATTGCCAATGAACTCCAGGATTCGAATTATTCCAATTAAATCAAAAATCCATTTCCATCTTTTCATCTCTTTATCTCTTTTTTTGTTATTATTATTATTTTCATTATCAATATCATCATTATTATTGTTATTGTTTTTGTCATTGTTATCATTATTATTATTATTTATACTATTGTTATTGTTATTTTCATTGTTTTCATTATCATTATCAAATGTTATTACTATTTTTATTTTACTTTATTGTTATTTTATCATATCATTATCATATTGTTATTACTATTTTATTGTTATTTTTATTGTTATCATTATCATCAATATCTATTTTATTATTTTTATTATCATTATCACAACATTGTTATTACTATTGTTATTGTTATCTTTATCTTACCATCAAAACTACCCTCCTGCATCTCCCACATCCCAGCCAGCTGCATCGGCATCATAGTAACGATGCCCATGTGCGGTTTCATCATCGACTCCGTGGGCTGGCCGGCCGTATTCTACGTCAGCGGCTGCATCTCCCTCCTGTGGGTGTTCCTGTGGGCGGGGCTCATGCACGAGAGTCCCCTGGTACACCCGAGGATATCGGCCGAGGAGCGAGAGTACATCCTGGACGGCATCAAGGCGGGGGTTTCTGGAAAGAAGGTGGGTGGAGAGGCGGTAGGGTGTTGGGTGAGGGAGGGTGGGGGGTGGGGAGGGTGGGGAGGGAAGGGGGAGGGGGAAAGGGGTGGGGGGAAGTGGGGAGGATGTGGGGGGTAGGGGGTGGAGGGTAGGGGAGTGGGATGGAAGATAAAGGAAGGAGTGGAAGGAAGTGGGAGGGAATAGAGGGTAGTGGGAAGGAAGTGGGAGGTGACAGAGGGTAATGGGAGGGGTTGAAGGGGCGTGGAGGGAAATGGGAGGTGTGGAGGGAAGAAAAGGACGGAGGGACGGCAAAAGGAGTGTAAGACAGCGACTGATTATGTGCAGAGATCTTTGAAAAGCGACGGATACAGGCGCCAAATATTTAATAAGCGTAAGAACAATTTCCATCGGCATTCGGAAGCTGAAGCTAAAAATGAAAAACAAAAAAGCAGGAGGTTAATAATATACAGTGAATATAATTAATGGCTAAATTGCTTCAACTGGAGCCAGTGACGTCACATCACAGGTGCGCAATAAATGACCAATTTTGATGCAGCCTGAACTGACCTTGCATTCCACTGGCCCTCGGGCATGTGGGCATGTGTGCGCATACTCTATATATAGATCTATCAGTATACTGCGCCTACTGTAAGTATCTATATAAGTATTTACGTATTTATCAGTATATTTCTATCCATGTATTTATTCAACTTACTTCACATGCGTTTGTTTGTATATATGTATGTTTTATGTGTGTGTATGTATGTTTTGTGCGTGTGTATACGTCTATATATATGTTTGTAGGGTATATGTACATAATATTTTCATTTTCAATAATTAAGGTAGATAGTAAAATCACTCTTTTTTTCCAAATATCTGAAAACGATGGAACGATAATACTCGCCAAATTAGTATCTCATTGCACTGGATAATTTTTAATAGAGAAATTAATAACGGTGATTTCGACTGGAATAATGAGATGAAATCTACAAATATTTCATTATAATGCAGCCACCCACACGGGACACAATAAATCGTATTGAATTATTACACGAACTTTATTTCTCTCTTTGTTGAATTGAAAAAAAAAAAATAAAATAAAAATGATAATAAAAGAAAAATCAAATAAATTCAAATTTGAAAATCCACATTCCTCACTGATTTCTTTTGAATTCAATTATTCTCATACTTTACTTCCCCTTTATCAACTGGTCTATTCAGCCATTTATCATATCTTTATAATCATCCATATTCTTCTAAGAACTCACGTCTGTAAGGAAGACATCTATTTTCGAAAAAAAAAAAAAAAAAAAAAAAAAAAAAAAAAATCGATTTTT